GAAAAGAAGGGCTTCCGAGATTCTCAAGATACCCTCACGATCTACCCTGCCATCGCCGTCGTCATCGTAGAGTTCGAAGAAGTAGCTGATGTTGGACATGATGTCCTTGGTGCCTTTTACGTGTGCAAAGCCAGTGACAACGTTCTGTAACGATAATGAGTCGGTCATGTCCACATCCCACCGCCGGAATAAGCGTCGCATAAACTCGTGATCTGCTGGCTCCGGTCCTGAACCCCATGGTGACATTGGGGGTCGTTTCCTCATACTGTTTCCAAAGTACGAGTGTGGAGACTGTGTACCACTGCCCTCGGGTGGGGAGCTCGGTGAGTCAGTAATTGCCCACTTTGCGATACCTGTATTACCGTAAGCACATATAGATAGAAACGATACTGTATGACTTACCAGCAAGAAACTCTCTAAAAGCATCGTAGTCCATCTGGGTAGGGCTGGGTCCAAGTGCCACACGGCCCTTCTCCGCGTTTCCAGATGTACCCATCACAACCTCAGTCGCTTTCATCCTGCTGGCCTTTGCCTTGCGCTCAGCCTCTTGTTGCATGATCTCAGCTCTTTGCTGTCGCTCGTACAACACTGCGTAGAATTTGTCGTACAAGAAGCCAAGGTCATTCACACTCAGCTTCTTGCTATCGGGACCGAGGTTGCGTATTGATGTACGCTTGGCGAAGTTTTCGATGTTCTCAAGTACGGCATCCTTGTGCTTCGCTCGCTGCTCGGAGATGGTGTTCTGTGTGATGCCAGCAAATTCTTTGAACGCGACCACCATGAGCTCTTGGAATCTAGTGACTGCTCGCAGTTTGGGGTTCTCGGACTTCGGGTGGGCAGACTCGTCAAGCCTTGAGAAGTACGACTTCAAGACTGAGATGAAGGTGCCGTCATCTGTAGCGTCGAGTAGTTCCTCGCCATTGATACGCAGGATAGCTAGGCCGATTTGGAAGAGTACCTTGGGGCCTTCGAGGAAGAAAACATCAAGAACGCGGAAAGCAAATATTAGAGGCATAGAGTTGATATAGAGCGAGAGAAACCAAGGTAGAGAAACAACAGACAACTGCACGTCTGATTTGACCAGATGGTCCCATAGTATGGGCATCGTCTTTTCGACGAGCGATTCGAAGACCTTTTGGTCCAGCAAGGTGCCGTACATGGTTTGTGAGTAGTAGCCGGGCAGGAGGCGGTCACACAGCACGGATAGGAGGAAAAAGGCCTGAGTCTCGGACATGTAACTTGTTTCGTTAGACAAAAGCAGCTGTATATCAAGGGGTACACATACATCAGCAATGCTGCGACCACAATGTTCATCGCCTGGCAGTAGCCAACCTCCTCGTTTGTCCAGCTGTATGCCGTCAAGACTCGTCGGAGCCGACCGATTCCCTCTTCGGACTGAAAGCCTGGGTATTCCGGCAGACTCCTGTTGAGGTCCTTCTCAATCTCATCGATCGCTAACGACTCTCGACCGGAGAACTTTGCTAGGGTCTCGGTGTAGAGGTTCGGGTTCTGTAGGCGCAAGAAGAAGGCGCCCGAAGTGAGCTCCCACATCTCGCCTCGTAACCGATTCGGCAGACCGACGCGAATGAGCTTGTGGAAGGTAGGTTGTCGGATGAGAGTTGCGCTTCGGCCGTTATCTGCTGCATGTTAGTAACGTCTTTAAGCACGCTTGGTGGTCATACCTCTAAGATACTCGCGCCATAGCCGTATCTTTGTCGCATCCCTCAGCTTCCGTGCGTTGCCTGGATATTTGAAGATCATGCCTAGGCCGGTATCTGGGTGTTCTCGCGCTTGCTTGCCATCATCTCCGGCCTTCTTCTGCTCGGCGTCTGTGAGAAGATACTCCGAGTAGCATTGCCCCACTACCTTGCGCAGATTGTCTACCTCCTTGACGCCCTCTCTCAGTCCCTTCTTGAGAGCATCGCAAAAGCGTTCGCAGGCCTGTCGCGACCCCGCGAGCTGAATCGTAAGCTTCTGACCAGCAGGCACCTGCGATTTCGAGTCTGGTATGCCGTTCCATGTTGTTATCGCCAGCGCGAACATGTAGCTCTGACTGTGCAGCCGCTCCACCCGTCGTATGCCGCATAGCGGTAATGTGAAACCGTTGCCCGCAGGTCCCGCACCGTGAGTCTGCCCGGTGAAGCTGCTGGAGGAGCTCAGGCTCGCGGTATTGGCGAAGCTTGAGCCCTGTGTGGAGAAGCAGAGATACTGCTCGCTTAGGTGCAGCTTGCCGACATAGTGGTTGCCCTGACTGCGCTCCTTCTCCGATGTGACGTCGCCGGGGCCCCTCGTGGAATGGTGGGGTTGAAGAGTAAGCTCGGCGGTAATCTCTTGGAGGGGGTTCTGCGAGTCGGGGAGGCGGAATTGGTAGCGGAAGAGGGTGGCTTTGGAGGGTCGGCGGTCTGACGATGCGGGAGCGGCTATGGTGTTGAGCGTGGGTTCGATGTACTGCTGCGCCTTCTGCACCAAATTCGAGATGTTGAACATGGCTTCGGGCCGGCCAAAGAAGCAGAGTGAGGGTTGGTTATGGTGTATTGCGTGACTGTTTATGCCACATGACGCGACTAGATTAGCCCTCGTGAAGCGCCTTGGAGGGACTGGAGCTTTATGCAGGGCTGGTGTTGGTGGAGTCGCACGGCCACAAAGAGGCTGAGAACCGGGATGACTAAGACACGCGCTGGGCAGCTTTCTCATGATCCCCCAAGATTATGACGCACCCGCCAATCTCAAAGACAATGCAAGAGTCAAGTTCACGCGGACAGAAACGGGAGTGGGTCGCGTCTTTTTCAATGGTTGATTATCTGAAGATTCTCATACTATTATTGAAGCTACCATATCGCCTTGAGTCGCCAGACTGCGCGCAAAATATCACTCCAGCTGGTGGACTTGTTCACCTAATCATACATTCTTGCGCTCTCGCTCATGCTACTGCACTGTCAGCCCTGGCTTAAGTGCATGTGTAGGCTCCGTCAACTCGGAGATCGGCACCCTGGGTTTGGTCAGTTGTTGCTCATCGGTGCGGCTGAACATCACTTACAGTAACGTAGGAACTCGCGTCACTAGACAAGAAGGTGACGGCACCCATCAAGTCCTCAGGACGTCCCATCTTACCAACGGGAATGAGAGAAGTCCACTGCTTCTGGAGGTCTGGGTTGTCGTCGAGAATCTTCTTGGTGCTACATCTTTGTTAGCATCTGCACAGTCTTCGTCTCTCAGTGTACTTACAGTGCAGTAAGCATGTATCCAGGCGAAATGCAGTTGACTCGAATGCCAGCGCCAGCCCACTCGACCGCCAAACTGGAGGCCAGATGTCTGACAGCTGCCTTAGCGGCGTTGTACGGAGCCTGCGGCTGTGGGACGTTGACAATGGCTCCGGACATGCTACCAATCATGACGATGCTGCCCGGTACCTTCCTCTCCATGAGGTGCTTCGCGACTGCCACAGAGTACAGGTAGGTACCGTCAACGTTGACTCCCCAAAGCTTCTGTATGCGGTCATGGGGGTAGGAGATGGCATCGTAGTTCTCGGTGAAGCCAGCCGATGTAACGAGGTTGTCGACCTTGCCGTGCTTCTTCAGGATCTCGGCAAAAGATTGGTTGACAGACGTCGGGCTCGAGACGTCGCAGAAATGTGCTGTGACCTTGGGAATTCTATATTTTGACTTAGTTGAGGTCGTTGGTTCTGCATATGGGTTTCTTACCTCCGAGACCCTGGGTTCTCCTTCTTGAAGATATCGAGCAGGCCCTTGGCAGACCGCTCACCCTCTTCCTTGTTCATGTCGACAATGGCTACATCGGCTCCAGAGGTCACCAAGGCCTGCGCCATGACTAAACCCAGACCTCGGGCTCCACCAGTGACGACAGCGACCTTGCCCTCCATGGAGAACGAAGCCAAAGTGCGCTTGAAGTGCTCACCTCCACGACCCACGACGGGGTTGGAGGGTGGTAGGTCCTTCTCTTCTGGGTACTCGACGACAATGTCGTCTCGGGTACGTGCATACTGACCCTCGTGCTCCCCACTCTCACCAGGCTCGCCCGATGTGGTTGCAGCGTTGACATCGTCCTCGTTGGAGGGGTCCTTGTCGAAGCGACTAGGTGAGGACGTGAAATGTCGCTGTGAGGAAATAGCTGACTGTGCTGGTCTGAAGGTGGCACGGGGAGCTTGGGCTCTGGCCGCGCGTGCGACTTGACGGAAAACCTGAGATCTGAACATGGCTGTGGTAGAAAGCCCAATTCAATTGGACGTCGCAGTTGGTAGGGAGAAGCTCTGAATTATGAGGAGAAGGTAAGCGTCGAGGTAAAGTAGATTATCTGAGGTGATTCTAGAAGGCTCTCGAGTCAAGGTGATATGACTTAGGAAGGAAGCAAGCTAGAACAGGGCAAGAAGTGGGAAATGAAGAAGAAGAATCAAGTGAGGTTGGGAGTGAAGCTCACGATGCCCAAGCAGCTGGCAAATAATTTCGGTCCTTCCAAGAGCTTGAGCTTCTCCCCCACCGCGTTTTGTTGACGGACGCCTCTGACGACAGGTCTATGCAGGGCCAGGATTTGGCGAGGCCATCCCGCATGCACTCCCACCTCCGCACACTCCGCACACTGCATCCTGGCCTGTCTGGTTGATTGTCTCCATTGAAATCACACGCCGTCGCGGTTGGCACTCCACCTCCAGGGCGCTCAGTGGAGCCGCCCTAGCCGTTTGTCCTCTCCGCACTACCGCAGCTCAGCAAATCCTGACCGCCTGCTACCCCACGCTGCAGCCACTTCCCTGCCACCAGACGCGTCCACGGGTGCACCACCACCCTCCCCGTGCATGCCCTTACCTGTACTGTAGACGTCTTACGTGTGTTGTTAATTCCAGCAATAACTCTGTTCGTACCTTCCAAGCCCTCGTTTGCACCTTCCCCGCCCTCGTCATCCCTGGTGCCACATCGTGATCGCCCTCAACAAGCCGGAATTGTGCTGACCGACGCGTCTGCAGCGACACGACAGCATCGTGATCCGTCATGTTTGAACTCTACCTCCTTACCTTCAATGCCGCGCGCAACCTCGTCGATCCCCAGTCCCTCGCGCCTTCCTTCTTCGACGCCCTCCCCAAAGACACGCCTCTGCCCGACATCGTCGCCATATCCCTGCAGGAGGTTGCGCCCATCGCCTACTCGTTCCTCGGAGGCTCCTATCTGAAGCCTTACTTTGACCGCGTGACCACGACAGTCCAGCTTGCCGCCGACCTCCGCAGCAATGGCAGCGACTCACTCGAGCACATCGCGACGCGCAGCCTGGGCATGACGGCCCTGATGCTCTTCGCCAAACCCCACGTCATACAGAGGATACAGTGGATACAGTCGGCAGGCGCAGGTGTCGGCTTCTCCAACATGGGCAACAAGGGCGCCGTTGCCATGCGCGTCTGCTTCTCGTGCCCCGACTCTGAAGATACTCTCGATCTCACCTTTGCGGCCGCCCATCTTGCGCCCATGGAGAGCAATATTGACGCGCGGAACAAAGACTGGGAGAATCTGGTGCGGAACCTGGTCTTTGTCAACAACGATGACTCCCCGTACAGCTCAAGCGAAGAGCGACCGCTGCTTGGCCCCTCGTCTGAGACACCAGCCGACCACAACGGTCTCTTTACGCCTGGCAACCACGTCTTCTTCTACGGCGACTTGAACTACCGCACACACGACAGCCCACCAGAAGAGGGTGCGCATCAATCATACCCTCAGCCGACAGCGTCCGAATCGTCGCCAACACACTACTCACATCTGCTGAAGAAGGACCAACTGATAAGAGAAAAGGACGCTAAACGCACCCTGCATGGCTTCCAAGAAATGCCTATCAACTTCCCGCCTACATACAAGTACGCCACCTCACATGGCAAGAACTCCAACGCGCCCAAGCGATCTGGAGAGGACGACTCATGGGAGTGGTCGAAACATCGGTATCCCTCATGGTGCGACCGAATCCTCTACCTCCCATCCGGGTCTTCATCAGACCTTGAGCCGCAAATTTACACCGCCTTGCCCGTACAGCCGACGTCCGACCATCGACCGGTTGCTCTATCTGTGCGCGTTGATGACAAGCCTATTAAGATGGGCGTGAACGACGTTCTTTCCAGGCCACCCTTTGAGGTCAACCCACAGTGGAAAGCCAGGAGAGACGCAGCTCGACGGTGGGAGCTTATCGTAGGCGTCATGTCGTATCTCGCTCTGACCGGCAAGGGCAGAATCATTCTCATCACTTTCCTGGGTGTGGTCATTGGCAGTCTGTTCCTTGCTGGGTCACTGACCAGGTAATCTTGTGGACGACCACATTCTCCTATGGAATTAATTTATTTCTCCTGCGTAATGGTTCCATCTCCAGTTCCACTGGTCTTGGAGATGCTCGATCGACGTGCGTGTCGGCATGCCTGTGGCCTGCACCTCTTCTAGAAACTCGATCATCTTGCATCGGTCCTGGTCATCCTGCAGTACGGTGCCAAACTTATGTACTGTATACGCGGCGTCCCATTGCGCAGAAATACAATGAGCGTTGCACCGAGCGATAGCTATCATCTCTCTCAAATCTCTCAAGACTTCACCATGTGCAGAATCGGTCACGACGATCCCGTGTACGCCTTGCATATTCATCCCTGGATTGTAGACCGCAAGTGCAATGCGACATATTCGCAGCTGTTGGTTCGCCTCCGCTGTCGCCTGTTAGCAAACAGTCCGTGAGCTGACGATTAATTAGACTCACCATGACAAGCGCCAGAGAACCACAATTCCGGATATCCTCCAACGGCATGTGGGTTGCCTTCCTGGTAAAAGAAGGCATCGAAGCTTGCGGGTCGCCTTCTTTCCCACTCATCGACCAAACTGTGAAGATACTGCCACTCGGCCATCGTCCGCACGCTCTTTTGCGCCCACTGCAAGATGCGCGCAGTCAGCCATAATATTCGATTTCCCCACGAGACTTCATCGATTGGCGATATTAGAGCTGGCAGAATGAAGTTTTCATAATTAATGCGCAGAGTGGGTTGGTTGAGCAATGCTTGGCTGACCTCGGTATGCACATGGAGTACCAGAGCAGCTTGTACAACCGGGCTAGACATATCGAAGACCCAGCCTTCAGGACCATAGAAAAGTTCAAACGTCGAGAGATGTGATTGTCCTTGTGTACCCGCTATTTGAATGTCAGCTGATCTCCGCGCAATTCCTCGTCTTCACGTACCATGGAAGTCCTCAAAGTTTCGCAGCAACATGGCGGCCACCAGCGTCGCCTCATCTTCAATTTGTCCCTTCTCGGCAATATACGGTATGAGACTCTGCAATAGTCTCTCATGATAGTCGTATGGTCTGGTGGGGAAATACGGATCGAAGCGCAGTATACACTGTCCGGAAATCATGAAGATGGCGTTCATGAGCATCGGGCTTGTCAAAGCGAGCTTTGGGACGATATTCTTGAAGATGCTAGCAGGACTCATTATGTCTAGTGCGTCTGATGCTTTCTCTACCCAGAACCGAAAAAGATATGCTTCGATTGGGTCAGGTATCGGCCATGCTACCGGTGAAGCATGGTTCGTTGGAACGAATGGATGTGGCGAGGGGATATCAGAGTTCCAAGTTCCCGGCAGGGGCTCGTCAAGGCTGGAGAGACTTGAGACTGAGCCAGGTGCAGGGCTTGTGTGTCGCCGGATATGCGACGGAAGCTGCCATAGGTCAGGCGTGGTCTGTGGTGCTGCGGGTATGAGCACTCGATCATTCCAGCTTCGACTCGTCGGGCGCATGTGTCGCTCTCTTCCTTGCGGACTCTTCCTCGATACCGACTGTGGTATCTTCTCAGCCGTCCTGGAGCGAACCAGATGTCTTGGTGTCTTCCTTTTGTCAGCACTTCCGGGGCCCTCGAACTCTTCAGCTATGAGTGACGATTCGTCGACAAAGTCCACTACATGACAGTCATTAGCATCGACTCAATAAGACCACCACATGACTTGTACCTACATGTTCCTGGCGTACCAACCCATCTCTGCGCCGCACCGAAGAAGTAGTCGTACTTCTTGATATCGGCCCTGGTAGCCTGACTTTCCAAATCAGGATACACACCATGTCGAAAGCGGACTTTGTAATTGGCTTTCCTTCGCGGGGCGGACTCTGACCAAGGCGCCGACATGCTTCTGGAAGGAAGAGCTTATCCACAAAGCTTAATATCTTGGCAACTTCACTGTACCCGTAAACAAAGTTGAAACAAAACCTCGATATCCGATCTTGGCAAGTACCTCAATTCCAAACTGGAAAGAAGCAAGTAGGAAGCAGGAAAGAGGAAAAGCTGATGCTACTCTCCATCAACAAACAGGAAATATCGCCGCTTCAAATGGGGATATGTACTCCATATCACAACGCCATGAACTGCACGGAGAGATCCACGCGTCACAATCCGTCTTGCTGATGATTTTCCTACGTGCGTCTAGCCAGCACGCTATTTGCTCTTCTCATCGCCCATCCCGCGATTATTCAGCGGAGGAGCGGTATGGGAAAGCACAGGGCGCGTGAGGCTTGTAGGTGCCTGGTGTGGCATTTGATAAGCAGGATTTATTTACGTACGCGATGTTTGATGGGGGATTTGGCATCGGACATGGGGAAGGGTGGGTATGCGAGTACGGGTAGATACGGGGTGGCTCAACGGGAGGACGTCGGGTATTGGCGTGCACGAAATGCTTGCCTGTTTGGGAGTCGCTGAGGTAGGGGATGGAGCGTGATGGTAGTGGGTAGACGTTGTGGCTGGCTGGTAGACCGACTCAGCCTTCGCTAGCCACTGTATTGGAAGCGGGTGATTGGATCATGTACTAGGGTTGTGGTTAAAGACGTGCATGATGTTCATCCCACCGCAACGTCCAGCATACACCATTCTTCTACTGGCCCTGCCATCACGAGCCTATGCCTTACACTCACAGCCAACTAAGCTTTCCTCACACGGGTAGGGCTGCATGCACCTCGAGCCTCCTCCTTCTAGAAACAATCACTCCCGCACCACAAGACGTGGTTGAGTAAGCACATCGCTGGGCAGCCATAGGTTCATCGGACCGTGTTACTGCGTAGCTGTATAAGCTGCATCGTTCGATATTGCAACGGCTGGTGCTATGCGGCTTATCCAGCTCGTCATGCATACCCTATTCAGCTCACTTGTCCTACTGTCGCGCTTCCACCTGACGCCTTTCCGGTCCGGGTAGCGACATCGGTAGTTCGTGAGAGATTTTGTCAGCGGGGATATTCTGGGGAGTCATACTCTCAAGAATAGTTGATGTTTGTTGACACGAGGAGGTGTGACTCAGGTGTCTTGTACTACGTTGTGCGCTGGTTCTATAGGTGAGTATCCCAACGGTCGTTGAGGCTTTGCTAGTTGGTGGCTTGAATGAAGTGATTACGCAGCTTCTTCACCGAGTGAAAGCCGGAATTGTTGCGCGTGGAGACAACATGATTGTTAAGAGTGCGGAGTGAACAGTGATCACTCATCTTCATTGAAGTAGATCCTGTGGATGGTAGTGTGCACATTGTGTTCGATAACACCTACTCCCTCCACATAGCGGTGCCCACTCAGACAGCTGGGAGTGAACTGGGAATCCCCAGAACACGTGACTACTGACTCCAATGATAGAAGAACTGCACAAACCGCATGTAGACCATCGGTACGACTGAGTCTGAGGTTCCAGACTTCTCACGATGGTGGAGACACTTCAGCTTTTCCAACGGCATGACGTAGGAAAACAAGCGTCTTTCCTTCCCGAAAAGCCACGTCTCGCGCTTATGCTCAGCTAGCAACTCACTGGTTTTATGGACCCTCGAGTCGATGGCACTAATATCTTTCTTCGCTTTCGCTTGTCACCGCACTTATCGAGTGCCGGTAGTGAAGGTCCGAGCCTCGGGTCATCGACTCCGATAGGCTGTCAAGAGATGTGAGCAAAAGGAAGTGCAAGTGGAAGCTCCATCGCTGTCACGATCACGATGCTAAAATTGGGCGCGAAGGATTTTGTTGATCAACATCATAGCTTCGACGTCCACGATGCAGCTTTGACATGCGCCAGGTTTGGCGAGCAGGAAGATCGAAGACGTCGCATGCTGGGTTCCGCAAGAGCCAACATTGATGCCCTGTAGAAGTGCTGGGGGTGGTGTAACTGCAGCAAGGCGCATGCAAACATCGGCGCGACTACACCTGGGCAACAACAGCGACAACAACAACACACTTTACGGCTGTTTGATGCAGCCTTCGGCGAAACAATGGGCACAAATGCATGAACCCGGGCATGGGAATGCGAAAATGCCATGCATCACAACCACCATGCACGAGTCTATTGGCCTCGGCACCATTTTGCCGTCACCTGAGGTCCAGACCTTTCGTTGTGCGAGGTTGGTTCCCGCGGCAGCATGTCGGAAAGCAGACGCTGTCAAAGTTTAATCAAAAGAAAACGACATGACAGCACCGAAAAGAAGCCTCTCGCAGCCTCTCCGCGCCTACGAGTGGACTCCGTGGAGGACCCGCTTGCCTCGGAGCTGAAACGCACATGCGAGAAACGAAGCAGGACGTGGTGGGAAGTGCGACTGACGTCACAGTGCAGCGGCCACCAAAGGCGCGCTGCACCACCTGCCCGTCCAAGCGAGCCGATCCCCAGCACAACGCTCGATCGATACCGACTTCTAGGCCCTGCCTACTACTCCGTGCGCCGGTGGTCTGGATTCCTACAAAGAGTGGGCTCTTTAGCCTGCGTCCCCCAGCTACGGGACATCACGGACGTATTCTGTATAGAGGCTATAGGGAATAAGGAAATAGAGCGACGTTTTGTACGGAAATATGGACCCGTGATTGCCGTGAAAGGAGAGAAAGGGATCGGGCCTTGAAGCGTGAAGGCTCGTGGTTGTGGGTTTTGCGTGATGGGCGGATGGATGAGGGTGAGATCTAGACACGACTGTGGGGCTAAGAGAAAGTCTTGTCTTACGTGTTGTGGCAGGTGTGTTGCCGACAGGGTGCTCTGCGCATGGAAAGAATCACGAGTGCATGGGGAGATGCAGGTGAGGTAATTTGGGTTTGATTGTTGTGGTGGTGGGAGTTTGTCAAGTCCTCCGAGGGAAACTCTGCCTAGCGCTCCGCCTCTTGCATGCCCTGCCAAACGCCTGCAGTGGTCCTCCAAAGACATGAAAAAATGAAAATGGTATATCATACAACTGAAAGAAAAGATCGCTCCGTGTAAATGCTGAACCGATGTGCTCCAATAAAAGTTTCCCAAATCGCAAAGTCGAAGCTGAAGAGTGTTGCCTGCACACTGTGCCGCTAAGTCGCTGATGTTTGAATGATTCGTCGAATGTCATGAGGGTGAACGCCTAGGGCCCGGCGATTATTGCGCCCTTGTCGACGATGATTGAGAGTTGAGTTGTGACAGCGATGCGAATGAGTTGGTCATGGCTGAGTAGGCTGCTGATGGTAGGCCGTTGGTGGATGATGTGGATGAGGCGCTGTTGCTGCGGACTTGGAGGTTGAGTGTGTGGCAGCTATCGCATCGTCCGTTCATGCGGTTGCAGCGACCCCGGCATCCTCGCTCGTAGTTGGCGCAAGAGAACATTGTGGATTCGTGTTGTTGAGGTTGGTTGGATGTTGGTTGTTGTCGTTGAGTAGTAAAGGGATAGTGGTTGTGGTGGTGTAGCTGTGTGCGACTTGTGATCGAGAGACTTTGTAGTGTGCTGGATTTAGATAATCCTGAAGCCGAGGGCAGACTTCGTAATATATGCGCTGGTGGGTTGTGAATGCCCGATGATGTAGCCAGCAAATGCAAGATATGCAGGGTAGTAATTGCGTATTCGGGCGTTAAAGTAGCCGTAATCGATGGGGTCCGTTGGCGTGTCTTGGTAGCGTGCGGATGGGTCCAATAATAGTGTGATGGAGTGCCGAATGGAGTTAATGTGAAGATGCCCAAGTTCTGCAGATGCACGATGCGTGGCTTATAGCTATGAAGCGCAGATTAGACAGATGGCTGACAGTTTTCAAAAACTTGGAAGAGATAGGTGGAAGATCAGCTGTGACGATGGAGGCCGCAACTTCTTATGACAGTTGACGCGTCCAGAAGATGTGTGTGTCATGGTAGATTATACAGTGGAGAGACCCGAGGCCAGAATGTCGGCGGTCAGTGCGCTCTTACTCAATGGCCAGGGTCTCCTCTTACGCATGCACGAGACCCTGCCCTGGTTGTTCATCGCCCAAGTTAGCGCCAAAACCTTGATTTTTCGCTCTCCCGTCCATTCCGGCACTTCGCAGTCGCCTGCATACCTCATACGTACTCGGTGACGCTCAGCCACCACGGCGGTTGTTCAGGCGACCACCAGCAGGTTGTTGCACGAATTCGCATCCATGTGGACACACGACTAATCATTCAAACAGCCAAGTTGACTTTACAGGGACAGGCACAGTAGAACCTCGTTTCAAACAAATTCTGGAAAGCGGCTTAAAGTGGGCAACGAGTCCAAGACTTGCACGGCCACTTCATCCGTGCACTCGTCAGCACCAAGACCCAAGAAAGCCACTCCAGAGAATCCACACATGGCGTTAGCCTGTCGCACTTCAGCCCTCTTCGATTACGTGGTGCTGCAGTCGTACCCTACGTGAGGCAGTAATCATGGCGCATGTGTGCCATGTGGTCCCGGCCCTGCTGCCTCAGAACATGATAAGCCGGCCCGCTCGACACCGGAAACATGTGCGGGCGTATGTAAGCTCGCGACTCGCGACACCGATAAGATAGCGTACCTGATATCAGAAGATGGCTGAAGTGGAGGCCGGAGTGCGCGTTCGAGACTTTGTTCGTTTTTATGAAGATCGGCACTCCTACATGCGCGAGATCGATATGGCCTCACGGCGAAAGATTTATCCACCAGATCTGGCCTGATCTCAGAAGATGCAAACTGCTGTTACTGCGAAACCGGTCGAAGTTTCGACCTCGTGCGAGAACTAGATGCGAGTGGTTCGCAGTGGGTTGCTCCGGACGTCCGATCTGCGACCGTTAATCAAACCGTCCGGTGCATCCGCACCCGTCGCACGGCCAAACGCAATCGGGTCTCAACAACTTTGCCTGCGGGCAACTCTGCACCCCGAATTCCGCCTTCCAGCCTTGTGGGTGTCAGTGGGTTTGATGATCAGCGGGCGGATCCATCGCTTATCGTGCTTCAAGGACCACAGGGACCAGAAGTCCACTGTTTACTGAACATTATGAAACATGATAGATCCAGGCAGCATGCTGAAGTAAGTCGCAGCAGAAGTCAGTCATGCATGGTTATGCTGAGAGCGATTGGAGGTTTCCAGTAGACCGTTGCCTCATTTCCTTTCTCGGTCCTCTGCCGCTCTCCCATACCATCCAACTTCCGCTCCATTCAATGTCATCCCATTCAATAAACTCGACACTGAGCGTCACTATCTTGCGCGATTAATTTCTATGCCTGCAGATTCGAAGACAAAGTGCATGTTCAGCGATATCATTCCACACAGTCAATGGCGACGTTAATATCTTGGAGGTGTCCGAAATTTGTCAGTCCATTGACAACCCCTTTGCTGACATGGCCCGTCGATAACAAACTCGTTGCGATGCGCGCGCAGGCATAGGGAGTGTGTAAAATAGAAGGAGTGACCAATTCAACTTGGTCGCATTGCGTGCTGGTACCTTGAAGCAGTGCTCTTCACGAAGCCAATAGTACCAAAACACTAATTAGTTGACCTGCAAGACATGTATTCCCCTGTTCTCGCAAACAGCAAACTGAGCACTGCGGAAAACAAACGAAATTCTCTATTACACTCTTTCCACCAAGCATCATGAACAAAATGAACCCGACTAACGCTGCAGCGCAATCTACTATACCTTTTCCAACTCTGCCACTTGAGCTCCGCGAGATCATCTACCGTCATGCGATACTCCCAGAGGACCTTACTTCTCAGTCTCAGCCCTTGAACTTCGGCCCCGTAGACACCCGGCGTGGAGGCGACCCTTTCTACCTCCAGTGGCTCGAACAACTCTGTCGCGTGAACCAAGCCACGCGCGTCGATGTATCACTGTATCTTCTACGGACGACCGAATTCTACCTCATCTACCCGGAGCAAGTAGTGCGATTCACGATGTTCCTGGAAAGTCTAGGCGAGAACGACCAAGGCTTTGCCGCAATTCGTAAACTCGATTTCCAACTCTTTGGCCGCTACCAACCAATTGCTGGGACTAACAACACTTACATCGAGCTCATGAAGCGATGTACAGGGCTGACGCAAGTCGCATTGAAGTTCGAAGTTGGGTACATGACTATTGACTCATGTAACTGGGCTGAGGATGTTGTTATCCCTCCTACAACGTTAGGGACCTTCGATCTATGGACATTCGATCAAACGCGCATCAGAGAACTTGAAGATGTAATTGCGATTTACCAGTTGGCAGATCTCATGGAGGTAGAGAGTTTGCAGACGTTGACGATCGAGGCTTGGCCTAGGATCAGGGTAAGTGATCGACACGGTATGCAGAACGTTTTGGTGGACTGTGCGCCGTTGATCGAGCGGTTGGTGGTGTGGCTTCGGGAGGGGTTTGCTGCCAGAGGGAGGGAAGTTGATGTAAAATATGTGGAAGCGAGTAGTCCGGGACTGAGGTGGAGCCGGAGGATCTGAGGTAGTAGTTGCGGCTTCCATCTGAAGCCAATCTGAGTAATGAAATAGTTGACTGAGTCGATTGTCCAAGCTGCATGAGAATTTGTTGCCTCTCATGTCTACATGACCAAAATATGTGTTTCCATCGTCTACCGAAGTATGTAGCAACTTGTTGTATCGTGAAAGTACCTGGGCAGCATGGAATGGAAGATGACGTGCGTAGAAGGTGAAGTTGGGCTTGGTCTTGCGACAGGCCTATGACTAAGCGAGGGCTGTCGTGTTTGCCATGTAATCCCAGCCAGCCCTAACCAGCCTCATTCATCCTTCAACGACCGAGCGCATCCGCAACACCATCGTCGCTCAACCATTTTTGACCATCACTGCCATTGCTGCATCTGCGCGCACTTCGGGGCCCCAATTTTGACATTGTCGGCGCGCTTTCACGCCACGCGCATCGACTTGGCCGCGACGCGTCGACGTAAACAACAGCGCGACTCCTCCACCACCCCGCCCACAACCCGATCTACCCAACCACCACCATGTTTCTTCCAGAGGACCTCCTATTCAAGCAGGGCGCGCTTGCGCACGTCTGGCTTGCCTCGAATCAACAGAAGAAGCTCACCAAGGCCCAGGTGCTGCAGCACAAGATCCCAGAGAGTTGCGAGGTCATCATCCGACCTGAGGTGGCCGCTGGCGGTCCGCTTGCATTGCGGTTGAACGCGCAGTTGCTCCTCGGTGAGGTTCGCATCTACAACAAGAAGGTCAACTACCTCCAGGATGACTGTCAGGAAGCGCTGTGGAAGATCAGGATGGTAGGTTCCAAGTTTGACTGCGTGACATGACCACTTCTGACCCCTTTGCAGGCCTTCCGTCCCGGAAACATCGATGCGCCCGCCCAGACTCACGTCGCCAATCCCACAAACCTCATGCTACAGGATCAGATCACCGATCTCGATCTGTTGGCTCCCATGCCCGACCCTTCTTTCCTTCTCTCCCAGCCTCTTAGCGGCAGCCTCAACCTCGGCAACACCACAGTCCCCGATTGGGACAACAGCCAGTTCCTTTCCGGCAGCATTGAGCAGGCGCGCGGAGAGCCTATGGAATTGCCGGATGACGACCTGAACCTGGACATTGGAGAGGATGATGACTTGGAGCCGACAGCCGCCTACGACGAGGGTACCAGCATTGAAGTTGGCCGTAACGCACCTTTGGAACGCCGCCGGTCCGAAGAGTTTACCGGGCTAGGCAAAGACATGATAGTGGATGACGATGATCTCGGCATCGACCTTGGCGAAGATCCTCCCACTGAACTCGCACGCGGCCATGAACTCAATTTGGACGATGACCTGGATATTACTATGGGCGGTATGGACATGGACACCGAACTTCCTGCAGGCTCTATCGCCGGCGACTTCCCTGTGCGACAACGTGAAGAGTCACCGCTCTCCGAGTTGGGAGAGGAGGAGGCCACACGTCTTGAACAGGAGGTTGCCGAACAGAACGTCACCGTGTTTGAGCCAGAGCCAGAGCAGGAAGAGGAAGAATCAATCCATCAAGCCCGCGCCAAGCGCAGGAGGGTCATTGCAGCTGATGCCGAAACTATGATCTCAAGTCACCAGTTGAGGGAGCAACAGAACAACCGCGAGAAGATCCTCAAGCCTGCATCGTTCCTGCCTCGCGACCCTCTTCTGATGGCTTTGATGAACATGCAAAAGTCCGGAGGGTTTATCTCAAGCATACTGGGCGACGGACGAAGCCAAGGATGGGCTCCAGAGCTTCGAGGCATCCTTTCCCTAGAAGTTGTCTCACGCCCAGCCCAGAAGCGCAAGCGTGGTGGTGCAATTGCCGACAATGACGCTACCGAAGACGAGGCTGCAGCCGAAGGAGAGAAGACGCCACAACTGCAGCTGGAATTTGAGCAGGATGAGCCGACTTTGGGAGGCGGTGACCTTGGCCTTGGTGGCGACAACGACCCCACGCTTGCGGGATCCGACGATATCGTTCAACTTCCTGACGACCCTGGCTTCCAACAGGTTGGTGATGACGAAGAGGACATTTTCTCGCCCGTTCCAGACAACTTCGACGACACAACCGCGCCGCTAGTCCATCCCGACGAAGCTGGGCCCGTATCGCTAGGCACAAAGCACGCTGTCCATTTCTTGCGAGAACAGTTTGGACCCGAAGCTGAAGAGAGCGAGTCGGTACGACAAAAGACCAGCATCGTTTTTCAGGATGCCTTCCCAGAGGCCCGCACATCACGGACAGACGCGACGAAGATGTTCTTTGAAATGCTGGTGCTGGCGACCAAGGATGCCATCAAAGTTGAGCAGCCAGCTAACGAGCTTGGTGGCCCTCTACGCATTCGCGCTAAGCGTGGCCTTTGGGGACAATGGGCAGAGACTGGTGCTAGTGGCGAGCTGGCATCCCAGGCTCAAGCAGCACCTACAGGAGATCCAGACGCGCCCGCTGAGGCCATGTTCCAGGGACCACCTGAGGTGTCTGTGTCTGCCTAAAAGTTCAACAATCTGTGTTTCTCCGACCTTCTTTGGGGCTTGGTATCATCTGTCGGTGTTGGCTGGATACCCTTTTCATGTACGACTCTTTTCACGTTGGAGACGGACTTTGACTGGTGTTTTGGTGTTCTTGTGAGGTATGGTGTTTGTGGGAAGTTGGTCCCTTGTATGATTGTATTAGGATAGTTACATTAGCTTTGGAAGACGGAATGAATTCAGTACTACCTTCACGGATCTGGAGTATCCTTCTCCAAGTGATGCTTGAAACGTCATGACTTCACGGTTGATCATTTGACTGAAGTTAATGACTTGGAGGAAATGTGCATTGTGTTGGCGTGTATTGCTCGGAAAAAGTAGGGCTGTCCAACTTGAGGCAGGTGCGCTGCGGCAGATTATCCCGAGGTCGGCAACTGCGTCTTCGCGGCCTTGCTCTTTGCACCTACTCGCCTCTCTGAACTCCGGCGACGACATCACCCTCCAAAATTCCCGTCGTGCTAGCCATCGCACACTGCGATGCCTACGAATGCAGCGGCGACAGGCCGCACGCGCAAAAGGGCTGCCGAGGCGTGTACGTTCTGCCGGCGGAGGAAGGTTCGTTACTGGACGCCTGCGTGTCATCGCCGAGGAGCTGCATACTGAGGCTGGCAGATCAAATGCAGTGCTGAAAAGCCAATCTGCGCAAGTTGCAAAACGCATGATACAATTTGTCATTACGAGCCTATATCCATAGATGACGTACAACATGCTACCAGTCGTCCGCGCAAGACGCCGCGAGCAGAAAGAACATCCGAAAGAGCATCAGACAGGACATCAGAGTCAACACCATCGATCGCTGCTTCTGCGCCTGTTGGACAGACCCCTGCAACTACACCTCAAAGCGTGTCGCGCATTGTTGTCGCTCCCAATGGCTCCTCTAGTTACCATGGACGCACAAGCACTTTATTTGACGAAGGCACAAATGATCGATATGCTGCGGAAGTACGACCCCAGATGTCGGATGAATGGATAGAGAAAGGTCTTGTTGCTGAAGCTGCCCGTCAGAGACAACTAGAGACGGTCAACTTTCGACTTATGAAACTCGATTTCGACGGCGTCGAACCTGAGCTTGGCATGCACTTGTTATCATTACACTGGAACCGGCAACACCATTCTTTCCTTACTACCTATCGCCCAGCCTTCATGCGTGACATGGCATGCGGCGGTCCGTACTTCTCCAAACTTCTCTTGAATGCCATCTACTTCGGCGCAAGTAAGTTCAGCCCACGGCACGAAGTTCGCCGTGTAGCAGACGATGTCCGCACTGCTGGTTGGCAATTTCGTGAAAGAGTGAGAGAACTCCTGGGAGGCGCTTTGGACAAGAGCGAAATCACAACAATTCAAGCGTTGCTAGTTATGACCAACTCGTTGTTTGCTCTTGGCGATGAGCGCAGTGCTGCCTGGCTGTACGCTGGGTTGGCGTTTCGCATGATCGTTGACCTTGGTCTTCACGTTGATAAGCCTGAATTTGCAGGGTATCGTAAGCTTTCTGATGAGGACCATGAGATCCGACGTCGCGTTTTCTGGGCAGCATTTGGTAGGTATGATATTCATATCGCTCATCATCACACTAACTAAAAGCGCAGTCGTCGACAAGATCCAAAGCCTCTATCAAGGTCGCCCAGTGAGCATGACAGAGACACTCGTACCCACCAAATTTCTCGACACCTACGAAGAACTTGAGCATTGGACGCCCTTTTCCTATTCCACGCAACCAGACGCCGTCTATCTAGGTTCGCCGGCTTATAGTATCTCCACGTTTCGACACCTTTGCCAGCTCTCGGTTATTCTGAGCGACATACTCAGCACCATCTATACCGAAAGAAGCTTCGACGTAAGCCCTACAGAGCTGTCCACCAAGTTGGAGAGCATACATCAAAAGCTGTTAACATGGCGTGGGCTTCTGCCCGAACACCTCACGGTAGATGTAGCGGAAGTAGCGGCGACACCTCCTCCGCATGTCCTAAGCTTACAGTAAGTGATTATAACGCTGCACACGCCACGGATGTACTAAAACAACACTAGCGCCTTGTACCATGTTCTCACGATTCTCTTGCACCGACCCTTCGTCGCAGATGGGCATCTCTACAATACATCACGCGCCATCTCCGTGAACTCGTTTATGGCGTGCGCCACTGCGGCGGATGCTATTGTACAGCTCCTGAGAGCATACGACAAAACGTTCAGTGTGCGGAGAGCCCCTTACCTGATTTCCTATGCGACTTATGTTGCTGCCACTGTGCATGCCCGTATTGCAGCCAAGCGTGGTGCCGGCTCACAAGCTCACAAGAGCCTAGAGACTTGCTTAGCCGTTTTCCGCGACAACCAAGAGACTAACTGGGCTGTACGACGCGCCAATGCCATTATCCAGAGCCTGATGAAGAGATTGGGTGTTGTTGCACCCGAGCTGAATGACATACACATCGGCAGTGGTGAAGACAACCACAACAGCGCACCAGACGTTTCTTTGGGCAGTGCAATGAATCGCGAACCAAGCTTGCAAAGCTTCGATATCGATGGCATTATCCAGAGTTTTGTCCGAGATCAGGACTCGTCGCATATGCCGCAGCCAGGTTCAATGGACCCTGCTGCCGACATGGCTGTACCTGGAGTGCCGCCGTCTGCGTACAGTACCACTGAGACGGCAAACATGCCCTTTGGGAACCCTGGAGACTGGACTTATCAGGGCCAACAGCAACCCTTCAGTGAGCAACCGTTTTCAGTAGATGACCTTCTTTATGGATTCAACGGGTCAGAGCTTGATCAATTCACAATGCTGGACTGGGACATGTAAGAGTTGAAGCTTTGCATGAGCCTGGCAAACCACTGTTACCGGAAACACCACCTCCCAATGTGCACGGCCAAGGTTTCCTCTCGCTAAAAGACCTTTCAGGCTTGAACACAAAAGACAGAGAAAAGACGGGTATAGTGGCACTAGACTTTTCTGTTAGCGCGTCAAATGCTGTGGTTTATCAAGTCCCGCGGGAAGAAAGCCGAGGTTTTACCGCGGCTAGGCTTTCCGCAGCAACTTGAGATCCCACGGCATCTTGCGCGCTAACGGGAAGAGTCTCATGCTTCTACCCGTTGGTATCTACCCGAACACTTTTGGAACGGAGACATATATAGAGAGTTGCACCGTCGAACATGATGACACATGTCAGCCTAGAAACGAAGCACCGACTTCATCGCATTCATCACCTTCAATCGCAGCATCATCCTCTATAGATGATTCGCACACTTCTCAAACCATCTAGTTTTCAAAAGGCACACGCCTCGACTGTCTCACATATCTCGCCAATCCGCATACCTGAACTCCCAATGGCACACGAAAGCGCACCGAAAAGAGTGCGACACAGCTTACCAGCCGTTTTGATGCGTGCTGGTACTTCAAAAGGTCTCTTCATCCATCGTCACGACTTGCCATCTTCCCAATCAGCGTGGGCAGGCCCATTACTTGCCGCCATGGGTTCTCAAGGTTCGGATGCTCGACAGATTGATGGAGTAGGAGGAGCGACTTCAACGACTTCCAAGGTTGCAGTGGTTTCGCCATCATCCCGAATGGGCGTCGATATCGATTATACCTTCGTACAAGTAGCAGTGGGTCAGGAGGCGGTCGACTTCAGCGGAAACTGTGGAAACATGTGCGCTGGTGTTGGACCATTTGCGCTACAAGAGGGACTAGTGCGTGCAAGTCCCGGAGAGAAGACGGTGAGTCCTCCTGTTGTAATTGAGACGGATGGGATACTCATTCTTCTTCAGCTCGATGTACGGATCTTCAATACGAACACTTCGCGGCTCATCGTCGATACCGTTCAAGTAGACGAGGACGGATCGTTCGATGAAGACGGAGACTACGCGATACCAGGCGTCAAGGGAACCGGAAGCGAAGTAAAAGTGGCCTTTGTGGATCCTGCCGGGAGCATGACCGGAACTCTCTTTCCTACGGGGAGACGATGTGATACTATTCATGTGAAAGGACAAGACGGCAATCGATTCTCAGTCAAGGCGACGTTGATAGACGCAGCGAATCCTTTCGTCCTAATCGACGAACGAACATTACCGTCAAGCCTAAGGAGGGGGAGCAAGGACACGGCCGTCTACCTCAAGGACATGGAGTCAATACGATGTACTGGCGCCGTTTTGATGGGTCTTGCTTCTGATATAGACGCTGCTGCAAAAGTCCGCGGGACACCGAAGCTGGCAATCGTTTCATCTCCTCAACCAGGTGACCATGGCCGGGAAGGCACGCCGGACGTTCATGTCCAAGGGTTCAGTATGGGCAAACCCCACCCGAGCCTGCAACTCACAGGTGCGGCATGCTTGGCGTCGGCAGTGTGCATAGAAGGTACTGTAGCCCACGGACTTGCATCCGGCAGCAAGGTGCAGTCCTCCTGGCAGTCGTCTTCACCTGAGCGAACACCGAGTCCCTGCTCAGACTCTGATGGTAGCTCTTCGGATCTTCTACCGAGCCAGAGGAGAGTCTGTCTTTCGCATTCGAGCGGGTCGATCAAGGTTGATGTTGTGGCAAGTAGCTCGGAATCATTTGCTGTTGTCGATAGATGCGTTGTCTCGCGGACTGCTCGGCGGTTATTCGAGGGGAAGGTGTATTATTACTCGAGTAGCGTTTAATCAAAGTCAATCCAAGTACGACAAGATGATGATAAGGAAATTGCGCAGGCTTCAGCCACAGCTGTAGAGTTTGAGAGAGGCTGGTGTATGACATCACACGCAGAGCCACGGAAAAGCGCGCCATCACTTGAGCGTGCAGCGGACACGTACCTGCCAAGCCGTCACTCGACGCTGCGAGAAGCCGACACATGGTAGGCAACACAACGCTAAGCTACAAATAGAGGTTACATTGAGTGTTTCAAAACGGAACACGTCGTCAGAAAGGTCTAGTGCTGTGAAGTCAAACAGTAGTTCGTGTGAAAGTTGTGACCAGAAGCTCGATGGAGACCCTTGCTCGAGAGTACCGGTGCTTTGACGTTTTGGTGCACCATCGACATTGAGCAACACCATCCCTAACGACAACCCGCAATCGACTCGCCATTTCCTTCTCTCGTCCCGCTCGCCAATCAAAGACGCATTATTACCGCTAGCACCAATGCGATAATCCACGGCGACGAGCATCTTTTCCCACGCTAGCTCTGGACGGATAGGCCACGTTGGACGGCGGCGCAACAGTCGACTCCTGGCCATGCCAACATGTCAAAAGCATCCACGTCCTCATTGCCCCTCTACAATGCCGCGGGCCTGCCCTCCAAGTCTTCGCGGCCCTCTTCGCCCATGCTGCAGCCGCCAGAAGCCATCAAGCGCAGCACCACGCCCTCAGTACGCCATGCGCTCCGGAGTTTTGGACACGCCGCTGACACGTGTGAATAGTCAATAACATCCGCCCATTCCCTCCTCTCGGCTCAGGACACGGCCCACAAGCTCTCGACGTCGATTACACATGGCCTCTCGGCCTCGGACGCCTCGGCGCGCATCCACACCCACGGCCTCAACGAACTCCCCCACGAAGAGCCCGAACCGCTCTGGCTCCGCTTCCTCAAGCAATTCAAGGAGACGCTGATCTTGCTGCTGCTCGGGTCCGCTGCTGTATCCCTCATACTGGGCAACTTGGATGATGCTGTGAGCATTGCCGTGGCTGTGACCATCGTGGTGACAGTGGGCTTCGTGCAGGAATACCGCTCGGAAAAGTCAATTGAGGCGCTGAACCAGCTGGTTCCGCATTCGGCACACATCATTCGCGCTGGGGTCGAGCAACCGCGGAACGGTCGCATACCGAATGGCACGCCAACTGACGACGTCGAGTTGGAGAATCTGAAGGACACCACTTCGGCCCTGTCAGCTGCGGAGCGGAAGTCTACTACCATATCTGCGACGTTGTTGGTACCTGGCGACCTCGTCCTCTTCCACACGGGAGACCGCATACCCGCCGACATTCGCATCACGCACGCCGCAGACCTCAGCATCGACGAGTCGAACCTCACCGGAGAGAACGAGCCTGTCTCCAAGTCGCCAGACACCATCACACCCCCGCCGGGCTTACAACGCCCATCTTCACCTTTCTACGCGTCCGAAGCCGCAGGAACGGTCGGCGCTGATATACGACTGAATGATCAGAAGAACATTGCTTTCATGGGTACATTGGTTAGATCGGGTTACGGACAAGGAATCGTCGTCGGCACAGGAGGCAACACGGAGTTTGGTGCCATTTCTGCATCTCTGCAGCAGATCGAAAGTCCACGGACGCCTCTACAACTTTCCATGGACCGTCTGGGCAAGGATCTGAGTTACATGTCTTTTGGAGTCATCGCTTTGATTGGTCTGGTAGGGCTGTGGCGCGGTTGGAAGTTCATCGAGGTCTTCCAGATCGCCGTCTCACTCGCTGTTGCCGCTATCCCCGAAGGACTGCCGATTATCGTTACTGTCACGCTTGCGCTGGGTGTGCTGAGGATGTCCAAACGCGACGCCATTGTTCGACGGCTACCCAGTGTTGAGACGCTGGCTTCTGTCAATGTCGTGTGTACTGACAAGACGGGTGAGTCAACCGTTCTTCGCGCATGTGACATTTACTAACTTGGACCAGGCACGTTGACCACGAATCATATGACCGTTACGAAGATATGGCATTTTGACGAAGCAGCACCGATCGACGTAAAGACGAAGCACGACTCCACAGACCTCGATTCGCCGACCCGTAACATACTACGAATTGGCAACATTGTCAACAATGCGCGCTTGTTGAGTGACCAGGCAGCCTCGGCGTCCACGGCAGCGGTACTTTCTTCGACTCTAGGAGGCGACGACAATACAGCTGCCAAGAGCCGATGGGTCGGTCAACCCACCGATGTCGCGCTCTTAGACCTGATGGACGCTTTTGGGGAAGACGACATCCGGGAAAGACTCGGCGAACGCAAGTTCGAGACACCGTTCAGCTCGGAGAGGAAGTGGATGGGGGTCGTCGTTGGCGGTAATTCTGGCAACCTCACCCCTGGATCTGAGCATGCATACATCAAAGGAGCATTGGAACGGGTTCTGGACCGCTGTGATACGTATGTTACAGCACAAGGGAAAGAGGTGGCACTGGACCAAGCACGCAAGCAAGAAGCGATGAAGGCCGCCGATGCAATGGCGCAAGAAGGCTTACGTGTGCTCGGCTTCGCAAGCGGTGCATCCAAAGGGAAAAAGAGGAATGCCAGTGGTACAGCCTCACCTGCACCATCCACCAGCTCGGCACTTGGAGATGATGAACAGTACCGTGGTCTTGCGTTCGCTGGCTTGGTTGGCATGAACGATCCGCCGCGTAAGGGTGTAGAGAGAGCCATTCGGAGACTCATGGCCGGCAAAGTCAAGGTTATCATGATCACAGGAGATGCAGAAACCACCGCAGTTGCCATCGGCAAGAGTCTGGGTATGCCAATTATGCCAAACTCAGCACTTGGACGCTCCGTCATTCGTGGTGACGAACTGGATCACATGAGCGAGGAAGAGCTTGCACAAGCTATTGCGACAACCTCGATCTTTGCGCGAACTAGTCCTGAGCACAAGATGAAGATTGTCCGAGCACTACAATCACGAGGCGATGTTGTGGCAATGACTGGCGACGGTGTCAACGACGCGCCTGCACTCAAGAAAGCAGATATCGGTATCTCCATGGGTCGACTGGGCACAGATGTCGCTAAAGAGGCCGCAGACATGATACTGACAGATGACAACTTTGCTACTATCCTCAATGCGATCGAAGAGGGCAAGGGCATCTTCTACAACATCCAAAACTTCCTCACCTTC